AAATGGAGTGGTTAAGAGGCTTAGGCAACTGATTAATGTCAAACAATCACAGACTTACTGAATAAATAATAATAAAACACTAGCAAAACCCTAACTCTTTGGTTCTCACAATACAATGCCCACTGCCACCACCTCCGTTGGGAAATAACAGAAAGATCAGACTTGAGAATTAGTCAAGGTTTGGATCCAGGCAACTTTAGGAAGCTACCTTCATATGCACAGCTTACTCATTGGTTATTAAAACAAACAAAGGCATACTGTTTGAATCTCATTGGACACGGCTGTTGCGAGGGTTAAATAACAAACTAGGAAAGCGTACAGCACACACGGCCAGATGGGCTGTAAATACCAGCTCCACTCCCAGCAACTGGACTGGTTCTCTAGAAGAGACGGGAACGCCATTTACTATTGTTAGCATTTAGAGAATAAATTATAAGCAGTGGTTAGAAACACAGATATGGTACACAGTAGGCACTCAGCAGATGCAGGCTAAACTAACTGAAGTCAGATTCATTTCGGTATCACGTTTATCATTAGGAAAAATGACGTACTAAAAGTCCCTCTCTAACTGCCAAAGACATCTAGACTTTTATCCAGAGGCTGACTTTTCATAACCGCTACAGTATTTTCTCAGCAAAGCAGGATATGATCCATCAACCCAATGGGACAGGAGATGTAGTGACTGTCATGGCAAGTGTGATGGTTGCTGCTGTCACTACTAGCTGACCACACTAATTAGCTGACCAAGAATTAGTGCAGGATCTCAATGTACTCAATTCAGAATGAAGACATTTGAAGACCACCCTCCCAAAAAAAGCCTCCCCTCAGAGTAAATCTCTAAGGGCGTCTATAGTTCGCATCCAGTGGATATGCAGAGTGCAAAATGCACCCCCACCTGACCACAGGGTGGAAAACATCAAGGGTGTCTGTCCTAAACCTACACTCCCAGCAGCCCTCACTCCACGAAGCAAAGCTGTTTGAGGTAATTATGGCTCCGCAGGACCTCGACAGGCTCACTAAAGATTAAATAGGAACAATTTCTCGAACCTCACAGTGGACAAACAGAAAAATACTAACTCTTGGAGCAAAAACTATGATCTCCCAAAAGCATTTTCCTTCCTCAGCAGAGGTCACAGGTTCATGGGTGAAAATATCTCAGGCGGCAGGATGTCGAGTCAGATGCTGACCAACTCGGAAGTGAGGTACACAACTCGGAAGTGAGGTACACAACTCGCAACTTAGAGTTATCCACTCATTCTCCAACCTAAGCCCAGTACACTGAAGAGACAAGAGATGCCCTCAGAACGTTTCTGAAATCCCCTCCAGCCACACAAGTCAAGCCCAGAGGCACACCCCCACTCTGTGTTCACGCCACAGCCCAAATTCTACAATTTTTGGCAGCACATTGGGGACGGAATCATACCCAGTTACAGCACTACATATGTGATCATGTTTTGAGCTATGCCACTGTTTAAACAGAACTATGTATCTTCATTGGAGCCCTGGTGGCATAGTGGTTCAGAGCTATGGCTGCAAACAAAAAGGCTGGCAGTTCGAATCCACCAGCCGATCCCTGGAAACCCTATGAGGCAGTTCTACCCTGCCCTACTGGGTGGCTATGAGTCAGAATAGACTCAATGGCAACAAGTTTATGTATCTTCATGATTAAGCACCATCTTTGTCACAGAGCCCATTCCCTTTGCCTTTATCTCTTACTTGCACAGCAAGTAATTCTGTTCTACACTAAATGCTACAATCCACTCAACGTTTTGCCTACAGATATCAGTAAAACAAGAAAATTTATACTTCAGTCAAAGTTTGGTATCATTTGAGGGCTGCCGTGTGAAGAGCGTGAGATAACACAATCACTGTTCAAAAACCCCTTGACAACCTGTGAGTCCCTGAACACGTCTCGGCCTCTGCCCTTGCTGCTGTTATCTTCTATACTAGCGTTCCTCAAAGTGCGGCCCCCAGACCAGCAGCATCAGCATGACCTGGAAAACCTGTCAGAAATGAAAACTGCCTGGGTCCCGCTCCAGCCTTGCTAAAACAGAAACTCGGGGCAGGGGGGAATCTGTGTTCTGGTAAGCCCTCCAGGGATCCTGATGCACAAGAATGCTTGAAAACCAGGACCCAAACCTAGAGAGCCTTCCTCTGAACCCCGTTCACCTGTTGTTAGGTGCCGTCCAGTCGGTTCTGGCTCGGTGACCCTTTGTACAACAGAACGAAGCACTGCCCAGTCCTGGGCCATCCTCACAATCAACGTTCACCTGTAAAGGGCTTCTTTCACTTCATGACTATTTTCAACATCCTTTATGAATTGTTTCCTCCTTCCCTGCCATTGAGGACCACAAACACTTCTAGGTCCCCACAGTAACATACACACACCACACAGATCACCATGGGTCTGGTGTCTCCTGCCCTCCCCACAGTAATGTACACACACCACACAGATCACCAT